AAACAGGCTAAAATTAACCAAATATTGGTTTGGTTTTCTTTTTTTAAAAAAGAACTATAATAGTAAACAGGCTAAAATTAACCAAATATTTGATCATATGCACGTGGTTGTGTTGCCAAAAACATGTCTCTCCTCTTGTTTTACATGTGACATGAATCCATCTATATATCAAATGGGAAAGAAAATAATGTCTCCCTAAAAGATAGTGCGCGCTTTGAACGTTAATTAGCATGGGCGCGTGTATTGGTTGGTGACCAAAATTTCCCTATCAAAACTTTGGTTGCCCATGATTTGGCAAAATTAAGTAGCCAAATGATGGCCAATTCTAGGTCATTATCAATCTTGTCGATCGGTAAGGGGAAAATGTGGCATCCATGTGCCTCAAGCCACACATTCACATGTATTGAAGTTGCAAGAAAACCAACATTATTTGTATAAATCTCATATGCCATTTAATATTATTATATCTGGATATATGCCTAAATCATTAAGACCTTCAACCCGAATTGTGTGTCTATTTCTTTTTAATTAAATCAATACCACTTGGTATTCCTCAATTTTTTTAATTTAATACCTTACCCATATATTTACAATATAAAGAAAAGTGGATAAACTTAAAATTTAATGAAACATGTGCTATCTCTTCAAAAAAAAATGTTTCTAAAAAAAGTGCCATTAATGGGGAAAAGGAGAGCAATACTCTTTCAAAGAAAGAAGAGGCAAACCAGAAGAAAACCAAATCGAAGAATTCTTTACACACCAATATAGACAACACCCCCATCAAAACAAAATATTGGCCCAATTAAATCTATTTCGTCCATATATCAGGCCCATCTGGAAAAACACAAAGGCCGAAACCCAAACGCGTAGGAGGCCCATGAATACCTTTGCAGCTCAGCCCGCCTACCCTCCACGACGCCTCTTATTTTCACCCATGTCAACACAAATCTCATCTCTGCCATTACATTCTAGGACCCGGAATAGAGTTGTGAAGCCGTCTAAACTTAGCTCCCATATCTAGTTTATTCTGTGAGAGCACTCGATCCAACTCCGCTCCTAGTTTAGGTGGAGCTGAAACTGTTTGGCTGATCTCCTGGAGCAGGAGTTGTGTCAAACGGGCCCTACCAATGCTCTTGCATTATAACAGACCATGCTAATATAAATAGGGATAAGTTATAAGTGTGATCGGGGAATAAAATATTGGTTCCGGTGGTTCGTTGTTCCTGTGGTTGCTTTAGAACAAGATGCAGTTTGCAGTGTTCGATCTCATCTCCAAAAAATGCACCTGAAATTTCAGCTTTCTGGTGTTCACTGAAATATCTGTTTGGAATCTTGATAGGATCTATGTTTCCGAATTCAGCAAATCATTTTTCTTTTTTGTAGTCGATGAGAGAAATCAGCGATCTTTTTTGCCGTGATTCAGTTATCATCTAGTCAGAGCCCATCCACGAAATCTCCGAGTGATTACTGATTCGAGGAGCTGCAGAAATTGTCGTGTTGTTCTAGCAATGATTGGACTGATTATGCGTGTACTCATGAACTAACGATGCCCATGCATCAGTACAGCAAACCTGCTGTTCAACTGTGTCATAGGATAAGGATGTTTTGAGCCATTATCACAAAAAATGAGGATACTCTAAGAACTTCTGAATTTTTAAAAAAAAATTAAAGCAAGGTTTCATGATCCTGCAATCATCAACTTCCTTGAATTTTAGTCTTTGTTTCCTGTTATGGGCGCTTTAACTGAAACTGATTCAGTGATTCTGATTACTGAATAGTTACAGTCAACTAAGCTATATAATTTTATATATGATAGATTTGTTGTCTGCCTGTCTCATCCAGGGTCAATATCAGCCGGCATAAATCTAAAAAGCTACCCTATTGAGGATAGTAATAATTGTGAGGAAAAAAAATCGGTGGATATCGCTGTTTTCGTCGTCGTTTCTTAGCTTATCTGCTCCTTCATTTCATTTGTCGTGAACTGCGATTCTTTCTTCTCTCGGTCAAATGTTGATCCGACAGAAAAGAAAGCCTAAGTGAAGATGAACAGTGATCTACGGCCTAAGATCATGCTGCTACAGCAGCTGATAATTCCATCCTTTGCTCCTCTTTCAATTCGTTTTTATATTTCCAGCTGGATGGTAGCTGATTTGCGTGATGATTTCGATCTACTCTTCACACTGTTCTGACCAGTGGCCACCACAGATGTTGATCGAATGCAAATTAAGTTCATTCACGCTAAGGTATTAATTACAGTCTTTTCTTTCCTTTTATTTTTCCCTGTCCCTGGCAATGATCTTTCGGATCACTTGCGTTGTGTAATTAAAACTCTGTTTTCTTCTAATATATTTACGTGCAATTTTTTTGCGTCTCCGAAAAAAAAACATCTGCTACAAAGGAAAATTTTGGATTAATCCCAGAAATGATTTGTTAAGCAAGTACACACACTGGCTCGATCGACTACACTCTGAGAGCAATCTTATCTTGATAGCATCTGGTAGTACCTACAGACCAGTGAAAATGATGGATGCAGTGTCGATGTTCTCCCACGGTTGGGTGGTTAAGAAGAAAAGGCAAAAGCTTTCGTTGTCTCATTTCATTCCTTGCTGTCCTTTCACTCCACCGAGAAAACAAATCTCTAGTTGCATTGAATCTTGAGCACGAGAGTGCTATTGATTTGCAATGCTCTCTTGAGTTTTCAGATGGGTGAATCTTGTATACTCAACTAGGAATCTGAATGATGGCAAGTTGGTTTAATTATTGAATAACCTGAATTTTGGACTTGGATTTGGCAAGTTGCCTTGGTTCTTTCACTCTTCCCCTGGTCTTTTATCTTCTCTTGCTTGATAATCTCCTACATTTAGCTTATGAAGATGAAGTACCTATGCTGTTCACTAATTTAAAATGATTATGAATCTATGCACCATTGCAACAATACTTCTTTCAATTTTTTTCCAAGATATTGTTTTGCCCTTGGATCAAGGTGTGCTTTCTGCATATGTTCTGTGATTAAAATATGCATCCTTGGCAATATTACTCAATACCATTGAAATTGAATTGAATGGTTCTATTGTCAATCTGCCAGGTGTAAGAACTCCCTGCTTTTCAAGTAGATGAATCACCTAAGAAAAAGATGAAAGTATGATGACCTTAGACCCCACTCAGATCAGGGTCTTCCACAACTGACATAATAGCATTTTGTTCTGCGCTACTGAATTTGTCTGAATGGTTTTGCTGGTATGTTTGGTATTCGACAAAGTAGAAACTGTATCATCACTGTTTAATTAAGCCTATATTGGTTCCAATCAGCCCTATATTTGTGCTTGATTATGGCAATGTTTTCGCTTTTGCGCCGTTCGCATGATTGCGATCCTCTCTTCTTTTTCTGTATTTGATTGGGTCTAGCCTTTTCTCCTGTCATACTCATGAAAAAAAAATGTGGTTTAGGAGTCTACATCGATTTATAAATCCATGTGCAAACATTATCTCACATGCTGAAACAGTCACTGAATTGAAATCCATTGCACATGAAGGGAAGGGAGGAACAGGTACCTGCATTTGGATGATGTGCAACCTGGCAGAGAGAATTGCAGGGCAAAGGCCAAAACACCCTGCCTTCTTGGACATCTAGGCTGGCATCCATGCAAATGCTTTGATATGATACCCTTTTACATCAAAGTTTCAAAGTGACCCTACTCCTTTGGGATTCTTAGGATTCAAGTATCCATCTAACTGACCACTCCAATTATATATGCATGAGAGGAAAAGGGGGTGGTGAAGAAAAACATACTCACATTCATTCAGACTTTCAGAGAAAGCAGGCCACTGGAGGATGAGGTAGGGCACAAATTTAAAGGAAGGGCTCCAATCTATCTTAGGTTCCCATAGTGGCCCAAGAATTGTTTAGCTCTCTCTGGTGTTGTGAGGTGGAATTTGCTGGACCAGCCAGCCCAAATGCCCAATTAGGTATTGTGCTTGATGCTTAATCCCCCATGAGAGCAGGTGAATGCATGGACGATCATGGCCTATTCTTTTCAGCTATTTCACTGGACCACTGTTATAGATTATTTGCTCTACACTTCTAAAAATACCTTTTAAGAAAAAGAACTTTCTTATACTGCATTGCTTAAACAACATGTTTTAAGCTGTTGTGGAGTTCATTTCTAAAAAAAAAAAGTATTTAATTTATACCTACACCCATAGTCTCTAAATGTAAGGGATTATGGCTATGAATTTAGACATACATATGTCCCACTTTATAGTCAGATCCTTATTTCTTTTTATAATGGAAGCTTTATTGAAACTCAATCAATTAAACTAAGATGATAAAACCAAACTGAGCCTACTCCCGGTCTATGTATGTAATGCACACAGTCAAAGAACCAAAACACTCATCCCAATCACAAACATAAAACAGTAACATAAAAATTAGTGGATATCAATCTGTATATACTAGATCCCCACCCACCATGCTGGGCAAAACACTTCCGTGCCACATGATCCAACCGTCGAAATACCATCGTAATAGATAACCGGTCCCTTAAATGTAAAGAACAATTAGGACTTGTTTGGTTTAAAGGGGATTGAAGAGGATTGGCGTGGAATAAATCCCCTCCAATCCCTCCCCTCTCTCAGAGGGATTAACCGAACAAGGTCTTAAGTAGATAATCCTTCGGAATAATCCAGTAAATAATCTGTTTTAAACGGGGGCCATGTGTGTGAGAGTTTATCACTAGACACTAGTCACGCTACTAGGTCCATCCATGCATGAGAGGAGAGCTAAGGTAGCTAGCATTCCCAATGCCATTAGGGTCTGGTTTAGTTCCTAATTTTTTCTTCAAACTTTTAACTTTTTTATCACATCAAAACTTTCCAAACTTCCAACTTTTCCTTCACATTATTTCAATTTCAATCAAACTTTCGATTTTAGCGTGAACTAGACACACCCCAGGTGAAGAAATGGAAGGAGAGACGGCGGCCGCTATAAATACGCAGCGCTGTGCAGCAGGGTGGGTTCATTGCTGCAAAGCTTGGTGCCGAGTGAGAGAGCAGCAAAGCGAGAGTGTGCGTGCGTGGGCGTGTCGCGCCATGATGAAGAGGCTGGTGGTCCTGAGGAGGCGGGAGCCGGCGGTGAGGTTCAGCTGCTGCGGCGTCAGGTACGGCGAGTGCCGCCGCAACCACGCGGCCAGCACCGGCGGCCACGCCGTCGACGGCTGCCGCGAGTTCATCGCCGCCGAGGACGGCGGCGGCGGCAACAGCACAAGCGCCGTGGGCGTCGCCGCGGCGGCGCTCAAGTGCGCCGCCTGCGGCTGCCACCGCAGCTTCCACCGCAGGGTGCAGGTGTACGAGGTGGCCTGGGACGACGACTGCGCCTCCGGCGACACCTCCTCCTCCTCGCCGTCGTCGTCGTCCTCGTTGAGCAGCGAGTAGACCAGCTGCGGCAATGGCGGCGGCGCGCCGCCGCCGCAGCTGCCGTCTCCGGCCGGTGCATCGTCATGCTGCATGCCTAGGATATGATCAGACCTCGCGATTGTTAATTAATTAATTAATTAATTAATTATTAGCTTGTGTAATCTGTATACCCATGGATTGATTGACCCTATTCCCCCCAAGTGATTATTTGCTCTCATCTCTAATTAATCAATTAATTAATGCCTTATTTTAACTTTTTTCCCCTGAATCTCTGATCCAATCCATATCTGATCTTCAACAAGCCGGCTTGATTATTGCATTGTCTGCACTGCATCAGACGATCTTGACATCTTTGTTGCTGCGTGTTGATTAGCTGGTATTCTTTGCTTCACATCACACTCTGCATGCTCATGAACTGAAACTGAAGCTCTGAATGTGACGCTGCTGTACTCATCAGTGTATTGTATTGTATGCACGTACAATTATATATACAGAGCTGGCACTTTGTATTATACATTTATACTGTACGCATACCGTGTCCTTGTACGTACGGAAACTGGAGCTGCAAGCGTGCAAAGTACAGGCGACGATATATACTCCATACATGTGGCATTGTATACCACAAAATGTACGTACATCGAAGAAATTCTACTTCCATTTTTTTCTTTTTTTTTCTCTTGGAGTTAATGAATTGAGGGTGTGTTTAGTTCCTGAAAAAAGTTAAAAGTTTAAAGAAAGTTGGGAGTTTAAAAAAAAATTAAAAATAGTTTTTAATGTGGTATGATGTGATAGAAAGTTGGGAGCAAGAGGAACACTAGCAGAGCAGCAGTCGACACGAGTGTAATTTTGACATTTATGTGGAAGGAAAAGTAGCTGCATTCCTTTCATTCCTTGGACCTGGCTTGAGTCCCTTGGCTATAGCTCTCTCTCTCTCTCTCGACAGCAGCATAAAAAGGGCAGCACGACAACAATTATAACAGTAATTTCAGACACATCTATGACTATGAATAGCCCGTTCTCCTTTTCTATCTCCTCACACCTTTTCATTTTTTTCCCTCCCCTTTCTTTCTTCCCTTTGTCCGGCTACAACACATCATTTAACTGTTCTATTCCTCTATCAAATTTCCATAAAGTTTCACAAACTGAGGTCAGCTGGTTAGTTTGAAGGTTACGAATGCTCGTATTTACGACTAATTATTTTTTTAAGTGGTAGCGAGAAACCTATGCCGATTTCCGTTAATCTGCCAACCCACTCTCTTTGTAAGTTTTCTGTGGTAGGCATCGATAACAAGATACCTATGATGATTTTATCAATTTTAGGATATATCAAACTAGTTTCTCGGAAAGGTTCAATCTAATCTCTCGGATTTGTTCATAGGGGTTCATTTATATTGTTTTTTAATAACAAAATGAAATTTCTTTCCAGAACACGCGAGACAAAACTCGAATATGTGAGCATTTCCATTAATTTGGCTTCTGAATGTCAGATAAGTTCGTTTGACTGTGTTTAGATTCAGGGGTGAAAAGTTTTGGCATATCATATCGGATATACGGACACACATTTGAAGTATTAAGCGTAGACTAATAACAAAACAAATTACAGATTCCACTTGTAAACCGCAAGATGAATTTATTAAGCCTAATTAATCCGTCATTAACAAATGTTTACTGTAGCACCACATTATCAGATCATGGAGCAATTAGGCTAAAAAGATTCGTCTCGCAATTTACACGCATACTTTATACATGTGTCCAAACATTCGACGTGACAGTGTAAAAAATTTTAGTAGTGGATCTAATAAAGAGGCTCTGAGCTACTGAATTTTATCTGGTTTGGCGTGCATACAAGGACAAGGGGAAGCAGGGAGGAACAGGAACGGTTGTCCATGTAACAGTGCAAGGGGAAGTAGGGCGATCGATCGATCAGGCACAGGCAGACATCCCCTGTTCGATGGGTGTTTATGAGCTGCAGGGGCACGACAGCTCGCCGCATTATAAATGGGAGTTAATTAGCTCCATTAAACTTGGATGGCTTAATTCGCTACTAATTAGAGCTGCCATGCATATATTGCTAGCTAGTGCTGCCCAGCTAGCTGCTGGCTCATATCCATTTAAAGCCGGCGACGACCCGCTTGTAAATTAATCAATTAATCCAATCAGAAAGGAAAATTGGAAATCTCCAAGTTGCACACTGTACATCAGTACATGTATGTATATGCAGGAGGTCCAATCTATTCCATGGTTGTACCGCAGGAAGAGAAAGTTCTAATACTATACAGGATGTAGATACACCACCCAACCACGTTGTTGTATAGTGGAACGTGTGCTTCTTGCGTATAATAAAAGAAATCATAGCAAATAGTGTCACTTAAAACCTATTCTTTAAAAATGTTTTTACAAGAAATAATGTGTTTTATTAAAAAAAATTGTACCATTTAGGAGTTTAATTATTAAGCATATTTGCAATATTCCAACAACATATATGCTATCCTTAAGGAAACATTAGACTAAGTTTTACTGTATAGCTTTCCAAATATTAATTGACATGTTATTTACGGCCAATCTAATAGTTTACCCATAAAAAATAGTTACATATGTAAATACTTGGCTCATAACGTTTTAGAGCTTATATTGTAGCTGGCTATAAATCTATAACACGTTTTTCTTTTCTCTCGTCTCCTCTTTCCTTCCCCTAGTTACAATTAGTTTGACTCTAAAAAACACACGCGTAGTTACATCTGATATATATCAACAAATTGTGTGTTTCCTGCATGCATAATCTATTCTTGTTTGGATTGATCCATGCCGTTTTCTGACAAATCAGATGTTTGATGGTGTCCCAAATCTACCTGAATACGCCTCCGGCGCCGAGACCACCAATCGATCGAGATCTCAACTGATCAGGCACAATTCAACGTGCCAACGCCAGGGTATACGAACAAGCTGGGTGTACTGCAGCATTATTCTGCGAGGATTTGCTTGCAGGGATCGGAGTCTCGATCGAATATGAACGCTGGCGAGTGGCTGGCTCTGATAAAAGCTAGCTAGCCACACCGTCCTGAAGAAGAATCTTGTGTACACGGCATAGTACAGAGAGCGAGAGCAGCTAGCTAGCGAATACCAACCGTATTGCGTTTGCCAGCGTGCACAAGGCAGGCATTGGATTATGATCGATCGATGCGGCGAGCGAGAGAGGCTTTGGAAGGGATCGAAACGACGAATAATATAAGGTTATGTCGTGATATGGCACGGGTGATCGATCGCCGAGACTTTTCTCTTCTACTACCTCCGTCTCAAAATATATTTATTTCTAGCACAGTGTAGTCTTGTCCCAAAATAAAACTATTTTTCCATCTACCTCCTCATCTCAACCAATCACAATCACTTTTTTCACCTACTTTCTTTTTTCAACCCATCACACACTTCCTACAATCATTCTCACCTACTTTCTTAATACCCGTGCCAACCTAAAAAAATATCTGCATTTTGAGACGGAGGAAGTAGCATATATTGATATATAGTGAAAGCAATGTTTTAAATAGCGGGCTAAGGCATTTAGCGGTTAGCTTCTCAAACAGCTATAGCGGGCTAAATGGAGCTATAGCGGTTAAATTATACATGAGAGCAAATAGCTAGAACCCTTCTCAAACAGCTATAGCGGGAGATAGCGGCAGTTTAGCGGGAGATTTAAAACCATGAGTGAAAACTTATTAGATACTCCTAATTGGCAATTTGGCATGCGACAATGGAGTTGAGAGTAGCTTATGGGTATATATATGATTCCATCGACTAGAGTTCAATGTCACGTGGTGCATTTTGTTACCAATATTGTGAGATTTACATATTTGTGTTTTATAAGATGAAGTATCGCTCGTGGGTATATACATGTGACATGCGGTGTGTGGTGCGTGCAAAAATGTTAACGCACGAACAGGTTCTGACATGTTGCTGAGGCATGCGCGCACCCTATCAAATTAGGGTGGGGTTGTGTGTGCGCGCATGTGCGTGCATGAGTGTGCAGAGGGGGGAGCTTAGAGCCGCACGCCCCATCCGATTAAGGTGAAGATGTGTGTGCGTGTGCGCATGTGCATGTGCTTCCCGCCCTCTAGAGCCGCACAAAGTTAGCCCATTCAACGGATGGACCCACTTACACATAGCACCCCACTGATGCTTTGTCTTTACTTAATGTAAAAGGGTTGACCTAGAAATGATATGGTTAGAAGGACAAGGCTTTGTAAGTTGATTCCAGGTGGCCAACTAGTTGTGGGTGATAATGGCACCATTGTTATCAGGTCAAGAAAGTGTGGTAAGGAAAAGTCACGCCAATCAGTTAGGCTACGAGAGGTAGACAATAATAGTGGGGGAAGGGGTGGTGTGACGACGCGGGCTATATATGGTGCCATTGGCCACCAAAGATATAGGGGAGGTGGTGAGGGAAGAGAGGATACACCGTCGGGATAATTGGTCTAATCGCACAGCACACTCGCCGATTTGACCGTTCTACCCTATTTTGTCTAACCGATTCCACACAAAGAGCACTACTTCACCAATAATCATCAAATATTAAAATCAATTATTTATCATGCCAATTATTTATCATGAAATAATAATAATAAATACTTCGATTTCATACAAAGATCCTATTAACTTGGTCACCAAGAGGGCCAAGACGAGCTCGCTAGATGGTAGGTTGTCCTAGAGCTCTGCGTTGTTGATTAGAAGACCATAGAACTCTATCGAGTGGAAGCAAAAAGCAAGCACAAGTTGGCTAGGCCAAAATCAAAACCGTGCAAACATGTAACACGTTCGCGGGCCTTAGGTGTGCGTGGACGGCCGCGTATTAGAGGCCCCATGTTGCATGTTCCTCTGGTGTTTTTTTTTTATAAAGTGCGCTTTAATTTGCACAGAATAATTAATGAGCCGTGTTTTACTTTGCACCACACAGGGTCTGTTCGGCTGCAGGTTACAACCCTTCTTCACAGCCAAGCTGCTGCTTGTAGATGCAGCGAAATAATTAGCGACTAGCTGCTTCGGCTGTCTAGCAGCTGCTATAACAAGCCGCCGAACAGGCCCATAATTTTACTTTGCACCAGGTTGTATTGAAATACATTTCACATCATTTAACTAAGGAAATTTCATGATCTTTTACAAAATAAGAATGAACATTTTTACAAAACGTGGTATAAAATTAACAAGTTCAATAAGTTCTACTTTTATTTTAAAAGATTCATTTTCATTTCTACTACACAAACCCGGTGCAAA